ACTCAGAACTTTGCTCTTGCCAGGCCAACAGTTAAACCACTGAGCTATCTCCTGGGCCCCTTCCGTTCTTTTCTTTCTTTTTCCTTTTCCTTCCTTCCTTCTTTCCTTTTCTTCTTTCTTTCTTGTTTATGTCAGGTGACTAATTTAAAGCATTGCTCCTCAAACTTGGATATGCATGCCCGTATAAATTGCATAGGCATCTCCTTAAGATGTGGATCCTGGGGCCGGGAGATGGCTCAGTAGAATACATGCTTCCCTGGCAAGCGCAGGGCCTGAGTTCAATCCGACCAGTGGGAACTCGAGAGATTCCTGTGATCGTGACTTAAAACAACTACGATAGTTCTGGACTATGTCCTGGTTAGTGCTGGCACTACTAGCATGTATAAAATAGCTGGGGAGACACTGCTGTTAGCAGATGGAATGAAACCCACTGGCCAACATGGAAATAAAAGTTAGCACTGTGTGACCAGTAACAGATTGCTCAGATTATAATAATCTGATCCTTCAAGTAAGTCTAAGCAAAGGAAAGCATGATTAGCCAGGCTTCTTGCTCCAAGCAAATCCCTTGCTAATTAACTTGCTCCCAAGTAGGCGCTGAGCAGGTGACACAGTGAATAATACAGCAGACAAGGCACCTTATCGTAACGGGATGGTAATATTATAGTCCTACCACTGTCACCTCCCCAGCCCCAATCATGTCTTATTTATTTATTTGTATTTGGTACAGGATCTCACTACACAGCTCAGACTTGTAGTGATCCTCCTGTTTCAGCCTCCCCAGCACTGGGATTACAGGCGTGTGCCACCACCCCCAGACCCGATGGCCAGCTCATTACGCCCTGTGGCTGGGGCGAGGCCTGCATGGCATGTAGTGCCGGGGATCGAACCCCAGTCTGTGCGCTTGCCTAAGCAGGTGCTTAGTCTGCTGAGCCATCTTGCCAGCCCTATAATGTCGTCTTTATAAACCAGGAACAATGCAGTCATCGTTTTCCCATAGAATCCACTCAACTTGTGCGTGAAGATTGTGCAAGGAATCCGGGCCATGGAAGTGGATTCTAGCCAGTACTCCTTGGAACTGATCCAGATGGTGCACGAGTGCCTCGACCAGGTAGGCAGGCTGTACCGACTCCAGTTGCACGCTTTGTCCTGCCACCCTCATTTAGGGTATGACATAGATACAAACCACACAGAATCCCACCCACCTCCCTGGGGTAGAATGTTTTAAGCTGCATCTAGAGTAGGCTTTGGCAATTTAGGGTAATTGTGTGCATCAGCAAACAAATTTTACTGATGTTTTGTAAAATTACTCTGTTTTGTAAATATTTGTGAAATGGTTTTGCCTTCTAACTTGTGTTCTTTTTTTATGGTTTCAATTAATTGCTATAGCCATGCCAGCCCTGCCCCCAGGGCGCACTGAGCCAATAAGATGCTGATTGAGACTGGGCTCATGCCTGTAATCCCATTACTTGGGAGGGTATAAACAGGAGGATCACTACAAGTCGGATCCACACAGTGAGACCCTGTACACCCTGTCCTAAATACAAAAAAAGATTAAAATTTCGATTTGATTTGAAACTGTCTCATTGCTATATGTTTATCAATAAAACTTTGAAAAGAAAAAAAAATAATTTCTATAAATTAATTTTATAAGGCTACAGTTAAAGAACCTAGTATGCAAAATGTATATACTGCTAATATTTGACAGTTCTCTTACAGTCTATAGAGTTCTAATATTCAAATTGTGGCCCAAGAACCACTGACAGAAAATCACTAAGGAGCAGGGGAATTTTTTTTAAGTAAAAAAAGAAGACTCCTGGGCTCTAACTGAGAGCAGCAGAACCTGTGGTACAGCCCAGCAGCTTTGTTTGTGGTGAACACTCTGGGTGATGGTTCTGTGCTCTCCACCTCAAGACTCGAGATGGCTATCCTCCCCCGCACCGTGCTGAAAACAGGGAAAGAGTACAGGCAGTAGACGTGGGCATAGGATGTTAGGAATCACAGGATGGAAACAGAAGGGTACTACACGGTGGTCTTTGACCAACTGACCTACATCTTTTAAGGAGATTTCTAAGAAAAGTAAAATTCTTTATTAGAGCCTATATTACTTATTTCTTTTTTCTTTTTTTTTTTAATTTTTGAATTCCCATTTATTTTTGGCTCTTGGGGCAGTGTCTCTTTTCAATATGAAGAAAAGGAAGTTCAACACAAAATAGAAATCCAAGTGTAGGACAGGACAAAGTCAAGGGTGAGGTGATAGCAAGAAATGACGCACAGCAAAGAGGGCATCTCCTGTCCTGGGCAGTGACCAGGACACAAGGGCAGGTAGACCTGCACCTGGGACAGTGGCAGCCACCCTCTGAAGGGAGAGGCATGCTCTGGGCCTTGTGAAGCTGATACTGTTTACTGTCCTGCGACGCTGGGTATAGAAACACGTGGAGATGAGCGGGAAAGCCTGGACTCCCCTTTCCCAACTGTCCCCACCTGTGAAGCTCCACCCTCTTCCCCAAACTGACCATCGCCCTCTACCTCTCTTCCCCTCGGCTCTCCATGGTGGCCCTTCCGTGGGTTTTCAACGCTTGGCTGGTTCTAAAGGGGATTGAGAAGAGGCCCAACTTCAGAAAACAGAAATATGAACTAGACAGATGTGAAAGCCAGCAGAAAATGCAGGGTCACCTAGAATGATCTAGGTTTGCCAGAGTAGAGAAAGAAGAGACATCCAATGAACAAGTATTTATTGAGCACCTACTGTGTGCCAGACACTGGTCTACACCCCCGAAAGAAACAAGATAGAGGCAGTAAACAAATTGTGAAAGAAAGGGGCAGCTGAAGGAGGCTGAGCAAGTGAGGAGCCCAAGGTGACAAGGACTCTGGCTTAAGCCTCCTCTTCGGCCTCCTCCCCTGAATCCCCTTCCGCAGTGGCGTCCTGGTACTGCTGGTACTCGGACACCAGGTCATCCATGTTGCTCTTAGCTTCGGTGTGCTTGTTTCCTTGAGGTAAAAACCGATGTTTTTACTTTTCAGAATCCCGAGCAGAGGCCTACTGCAGATGAGCTTTTGGATCGCCCCCTTCTCAGGAAACGCAGGAGGTAAAGTATAGGGGTCACTTCGTTGTCTCTCTAGAGATGGTTGACTGGTAGAGGGCTTATGAGGATATGACAAGAGTAGAATAATTGGGGTTAGGCTGGGAGGGGGGCGCACACCTATACTCTCAGGACTTGGATGCTGAGGCAGGAGGATCATTGCAAGTTCAAGACCAGCATGGACCATGTAGTGAGACCCTGTGAAAGGGTGATATTTCTCAGGTTGGCTACTCTGATGCAGTTTTCTCCTAGCATGTCAGCATTTATTGCTCCAATGGAGGTCTTAACTTTAGCTCCTTAACTTTATCTTCTAATTTTTACCTCTTTAAATTTATATTGCTGACACCAAAGAACCCACCACATCCCAAAATCTGTGAGATTTTCTTCTAGAGTTGGTACATTGATATATTTAGATTTGTATCTGAGTTCTGTTGTTATCTTTGTCAAGTGATTTAGCATCTCTGTTTCTTTGTTTTCTGTTCTATAAAGTAAGATGCAGTGTAGGGGGCCGGGGAGATGGCTCAGTGGAATAAGCGTTTCCCTGGCAAGCGCAAGGGCCTGAGTTCAATCTCTGGTTCCGCAAAAAAAAAAAAAAAGAATAGTGTGTATAAACTTCTCAGCTCAGGACCTGACAGAAAGCGCCTAACAATTGTTGGGTAGTAGTATGAATTAAGACTGGCATTTGTTTTTGCACATGTTTGTTTGTTTGTTTGTTTGTTATTTACATGCATGTTTCTTTTTTGTTTTGTTGGGTGTGAGTGTGTGTGTTTTGGAGACAGGGTCTCACTATATGTTCCAGGCTGACCTCAGACTCAGTATGTAGCCCAGGCTGGCCTTAAACTCACTGCGATCCTCCTGCTTCAGCCTTCCAAGTTTTGGAATTACAGGCATGTACCATCACATCCAGTTTTGAGGTGGTGGGTTGGAGTGGGAGGAGTCTTCCTCATATATTTTGCCCATTTCTTGAGATCACACCTTATTGACTCCTGAGAGGTTCTTTCCTAACATTTATTTTGTATCAGAGGTCTGTGTAGAGGCAGAAAGGCTATCCTTCCTGTAGAAGGCTTCACACCTCAACCTATCGGAGAATAAAGGAGAGGTATTCCTTATCCCTTATGTTTTCTAGTCTGCATTTCATCTAGTTATGTTATTTTGCAATACTATCTTAATTCCTCCTCTACCAGTACTTTGTTTTAGCTTTGGTTTTGGTTGGGTTTAATCTGAGATTTTTGGGTTTTTGAGACAGGATCTAGGTATGTGGTTCAGGCCAACTTTGAACTCACTGTTCAGAGTTCTGGGCTGGCCTAGAACTTACGGCAGTCGTCCCGCGCTAGTCACCAGGGTGCTGGAATAATAGACCTGTGCCACCATGTACAGTTCTTTGTTTTTACATCCCTCAACTATTCAGATACTTTCTGTGCTCTTTCAAGTTTTGCTGTGTGACTGGAGACAGAACACAGCTCCTTCATGCTAGCCAAGCAGTTCACTCCTTATCTGTATTTCCAACCCCTTTTCAATTTTGTTTTGAGCCAAATAGCTCAGTGGATTAAAGCACCTGCAAGTAGGCCCCAGGGCACACTGAGACAATAATTGAGACTGGGCTTGGTGGCACACGCCTGTAATCCCAGCTCTTGGGAGGCTGAAAACAGGTGGATCACTAGGAGTCCGATCTAGTAGACACTAAACACCCTGCAGGCCCTTCCCTAAAATACATAAGTGTTGTTTGTTTGTTTGTTTGGCTGGCTGGCTCAGGATGCCTCCAAGGCAGGTCTGGTAAGGCTTGAGGATCTGGGGATCGAACCACAGCATCCCTACTGCTTTGTTTAAGCAGTCACTTAAACAACTAAGCTAATGGGCGTGCCCCTCTTCCCTAAAATACAAAAGAAATTATTTTGAAACAGGAGCTGTTAAGTTACCCAGGCTGGCCTCAGATTTGCAATCCTGCTACCTCAGTCTCCTGAGTAGTTCAGAAGTTCTTGTTCTTAAATACATTAAGTACATAATTAATCCTTTTTTTTTTTTTTTTTTTTTTTTTTTTTTTTTTTTTTTTGTGGTGCTGGGACTTGAACCCAGAGCCTTGTGTGTGCTACACGAGCATTCTACCACTCTGCGTCCCCAGCCCCTATCCTATAATCTTTACTCTTTAGTCAGTGTATTTTGTTGTATCATTTATTTTATTTATTTATTTATTTGTGTGTGTGTGTGGCCAGCTCAGCCCACCAGGGGGCGGGGCTGGCTGGCATGTGGTGCTGGGGGATTGAACGCGGGATTGAATGCAGTCCCTGTGCTTTGCTAAGCTTGTTCTAAGTAGGTGCTTTAGACCACTGAGCCATCTCACCAGCCCCTTGTTGTGTCATTTAATCTCTCTCTTTTTTTTTTTGACAAGGTCTTGACTATGCAGCTCAGACTGGCCTTGAGCTCACTTTGTAGCCCAGGTTGCTCTCGAACTCACAGTGATCCTCCTGCCTCAGCCTCCTGAGTGCTGGGATTGCAGGCATGCACCACCACTCCCAGCATGTTATATAATCTCTTATTTTTAATATATTTGATAGAATGATTTTACTTATTTATGGGATGCTATGTGACAGTTCATTACACATGTATAATGTGTAATGATCATATCAAGGTAATTAGTAATTGGCATATTTGTCACCTTGAACGTTTGTCATTTCTTTGTGTTGGGAACTTTTAGTTTGGTTTTGTTTTGTTTACTTGGTGGTACCAGGGATTGAACTGAGGACCTTGTGCTTGCCAGGCAAGTGCTTATTCTACTGAGCTGTCTCCCAGCCCTGTGTTGGGAACTTTTAAATTCCTCTCTTGTATTTATTTTCTCAGTGAACTACCTGTGCAGTAGAACATTAAAGTTTCCTCCTCCTATATACCTGTGAGCTATCCTGTCACTCCTGCCTTAGGCCTCCCCAGGCTCTGATAATCATTGTCTCTTCTCTATTTGGGATCTTCTTGGCATCCATATATAAGGGTGAATAGGCAATATTTGTTTTTCTGTATTTGAGTTAATTTCACTGTTTTGGAGGAAGTGGGAGTTTTTAGTTTTCTGAGACAGGGTCTTGCTGTCTCAGGCAGGTCTTGCTAGTTCAAGCTGGCCTTAAACTCATAGCACTCCTCCTGCCTCAGCCTCTTGAGTGCTGGGATTGCAGGTGCGCACCAGCATACCTGGCTTAACTTCACTTGGTATGATGCTCTCCATTACCATTCATAATGCTTCAGATGACACAGTTTCTTTTTGCTGGCTATATTATATTCTGTGGTGTGTATAATCTGCATTTTTTTTTTAATCCATTCATCCTTCAGTGGACATGTACATCAATTCTTTTTTTTTTTTTTTTTTTTTGGCAGAACCAGGGATTGAACTCAGAGCCTTGCACTTGCCAGGGAAGCGCTTATTCTACTGAGCCATCTCCCCGGCAAATAGATTGAATCTATATCTTGACTATTCTTAGTAGCTGCAATAAATGTTCAAGTGCAGATCTCCTTGCATACTAAATTAAATTCCTTTGTATGTATCCACTGTAAGAGTATTGCTGACACAAGGTCCTGAATTTGATTCCTGGTACCCTAAAAAACAAACAAAAAAACCCAAGAGTAGAAACCTCCATGCTCTTTTTCTATGGTGGTTGGACTAATTTACCTTCCTACCAAAAGTGTGTGGATATACTTTCCTCCATATCCTTGCAGCATTTGTTATTTTTTCATAATAGTTAAATGGTAAGATGATATACTGCATTGGTTTGTTTGTTTTTTAATTTTTTTTATTTATTTATGTGTGTGTGTGCATGTGCGTGTGTGTGGCCAGCCCAGCCCACCAGGGGGTGGGGCTGGCCGGCGTGTGGTGCTGGGGGACCGAACCGCGGTCCCCGTGCTCCGCCAAGCCTTCTCTAAGTAGGTGCCCTAGACCACTGAGCCATCCCACCAGCCCCACCACATTGGTTTTGAGGTGTTTTTTTTTTTTTTCTTTTTTTATGTATTTGGTGCAGGTCTCACTGTGTAGCTCAGACTTGTAGTGATCCTCCTGTTTCAGCCTCCCCAGAGCTGGGATTACAGGGGTGCACCACCATACCCAGTTTCGGTGGCCTGCTGGGCATGGGGTGGGGCCAGGGGACCAGGACAGCATATGGTGCTCAGGATTGAACCTGGGTCGTTGTGCTTGCCAGGAAGGTGCTTAGACTGCTGAGCCACTCCTTGGCCCACGCATTGTGGGTTTGTTTCTTTTTCTTTTTTACTGTACTTGTAGCAAGGGTTACTGTCAAGCTCCACCCACTGGGCCAGAGTGGAGTGTCCGCGGAAGCCTCCCCCTCATGTAGCACACTACCTACACTTGGGGGTCGGCAGGCCCGCCAGGGGCCTTACCCCAAGCTCTAACAATGTGCAACACGCTGTGGTTCTGATTCGCATTTCCCTCATGCTGAAACACTCATTGGACACTTGTATGTCCTCTTTGGAGAACTGTCCATTCATATTATTCATCTGTTTTTTAAAATTAGTTTCTTACTATTCAGTTGTTTGACCTTATATATTGTAGAAATCGGTTCCTTATCAGATGGATAGTTTGCCAGTATTTTTTTCCTGTTTTAAAGGTTATCTCTACTCTGATTGCTTTGTGTGCTATAAAGAATCTTTTTATTGTAACTGACCTACCAACCTGTTTTGAAGGTGTCTCATTGCTATTTCTCAATAAAATTAATTTTAAAAAAAGAATCGTTTTAGTCTGATATAATTCCATTTGTATACCGTGCCTTTGTTTTTGTTGCCTGTGTCTTTGGGGTTATATCCAAAATACTTTTGCCTAGACTAATGTCTTAAAATGTTTCACCTGGGGCTGGTGAGATGGCTCAGTGGTCTAAAGCACCTACTTAGAACAAGCTTAGCAAAGCAAAGGGACCGCGGTTCAATCCCCCAGCACCACATGCCAGCCAGCCCCGCCCGCTGGTGGGCTGAGCTGGCCACGCACACACATAAATAAATAAAATTTTTTAAAAAAGTTTCACCTGTATTTTTTTTTTTTTTTTTGCGGAACCGGGGTTTGAACTCAGATCCTTGCATTTATCAGTCAAGCGCTTATCCTACTGAGCCATCTCCCCGGCCTTTCACCTGTATTTTCTTCCAATAATTTGTTATTTTTAAATCTCATAAATTTGATCCACACTCCCAGGGTGCACAGAGACTGTGGATGAGACTGGGCGTGGTGGCGCACACTGTAATCCCAGTGCTTGGGAGGCTGGAAACAGGAGGATCACTACACGTATGATCCTGTGTCGTGAGACCCTGTAGACCCTGTACTGAAGACACATAACTCAATTGATCCGTCAGTCTCATATAGTATTAGAGACTTTAGTGGAGCTGGGCTTGGTGGTGCACGCCTGTCATCCCAGCACTTGGGAGGCTGAGGCAGGAGGATGATTGCAAGTTCAAGACCAGCCTGGGCTACAAAGTGAGTTCAAGCCAGGCCTGAACTGCATATTGAGACCCTGTCTCAAAAAGACAAAAATAGGGTTGGGGAGATGGCTCAGTGGAATAAGTGCTTCCCTGGCAAACGCAAGGACCTGAGTTCAATTCCCGGTTCTGCCAAAAAAAAAAAAAAAAGAATAAGTACTTGCCTGGCAAGCTTAAGGTCCTAAGTTCAATCCTCAGTACTGGGGGGGAAAAAAAAAAGAAACATACATATTACATTTAAAAAATACAAAACTAATGGTTTAATGGTTTCTAGTTTTTGGTTTTTTTGCGGAACTGGGGATTGAACTCAGGCCCTTGCCCTTGCCAGGCAAGCACTTACTCTACTGAGCCGTCTCCCCGGCCCTGCCACTTGGTTTTTAGCCAGTGTCTCATACCTAGAGTATAGAATTATGTATGATACTCTAGACGTAGCACTGCACCTTTCTATTTGTGTTCTGTGTATAGTAAGGCAAGATTTCCCTTTAATGCTGGTTAAACATGTTTAAAATTCTTATCTACCTTATTTCCAAATAATATAATCATTGTTTAAATCCCTTATTGGAGTATTTGAATAGGTTTGTTTCGTAATGATACTACAGAATGAATCCAGGGAGTGCTGAGCTGTTTGTCTTTCTGGTTTGTTCGGGAGACAAGCTTTCCCCATGTAATTCAAGCTGAATTTATTTATTTATTAACATATTTCCTTGTTACTGGGTCTCACTGCGCAGCTCAAATTCATTGTGATGATCCTCCTGTTTTCAGCCTCCCCAGTGCTGGGATTACAGGCACGAGCCACTATTCTGGACTCTGTGGCAGGCTCACCCTGCCCTGGGGATGGGCTGGCGTGGCATGTGGTACTGGAGATCAAAGTGCAGTCCCTGCACTTGCATAAGCTTGCCCAAGCAGGTGCCTTAGTCCAGCTATCTCACTGGCCCTCTGAATTTAATGTTTATGTTTATACTGAAATAATTATAAATTTGCATGCCATATTTTCTTGGAATCTGTACTTTGTATTTTTAGAGAGGGGTCTACAGGGTCTCACTACTAGATCGGACTCTAGTGATCCACCTGTTGCCAGCCTCCCAAGTGCTGGGATTACAGGCACACACCGCCACGCCCAGTCTCAATTGTCAGCTCAATGCGCCCCGGGGGCTGGCCCGGCACAGCAAGCACCAGGGGGATCAAACTCCCCACCCCTGCGCGTGCTTACAGGTGCTTTAATCCACTGAGCTATTTGGCTGGCCCAGAATTTGTACTTTAATGGAAGAGCATACTTTAGAACTTTTAAATAGAAAATAGCATAAGGAAAAGCACGCATACAAGTAGTTTTGTGGAAAATATTCAAGAAATACAAAATCCTGTTTGATTAGATTAGTAGTTGTATTTATTTTTTTAATCCCCCCATCCAGATTAGTAGTTTTAGACCTGGGCTCTCAATGCATAGTCCTGTAATCCCCACACTCAGGCTGATACAGGAGGATCACAGTGAGTATGAGGCCAACCCAGGCTACATAGTGAGTTCAAGGCCAGACTGACCTACATAGTGAGACCCTGTCTTAGAAAATTAAAATTACTGATGCCTGAGCATACCCTAGTAGTTCTGCTGAAACAGATTTATGCAAAATGGTAGCGGTACTGCCAGAGGAAGCACAATTTAGGCAGAATGGTAGCCCAGAGCCAGAATATAGTGTTAGTAAACGGAAAGAAAACTGAGAAGATGGCAGAGAATTTTGGATCTTAGGTTTAATACAAAAGGTAGTACAGAGGGGCTGGGGAGATAGCTTGGCGGTCTAAGTGCCTGCCTGGCAAGTGCAAGGAACTGGGTTTAATCCCTGATAACCGCATGCCATGCAAGGCCCCAAACTGGGAGTGGTAGTACATGCCTATAAGCTACCACTGGGGAGGCTGAGACAGGAGGAACATTTGCGTCTGAGCTGCATTGTGAGACCCTGTGCTAAATACATAAATGGTTTTAAAAAGATAGAGCTATTGGGTATTTGAGAGAGGATACCTCCTGTAGGGAGAAGCACAGCTCAGGAAGAGTCCTGTCATGGTGCTGGGATCATGTTCACATAGGCCTCATGCAAGCAAGCTAGGACTGTAGCGAGGGAGGTTGAGGCTGCTCTAGTACAGGTGAGACTGTTCACCTTGGCTGAGGACAGACGATGCTGTATCGCTATAGTCTCTAGAATTGGGTATTGAAGAGCCAGAGGTGACTGCAGCTGGTTGGCAAAATGGGTGAAATGTGCTGCCAGTTAAAGAAGTGGGGCAGTCAGGAAGATGAACTGATGTAGGGGAGAGCCAACACCCCTGCTTGGAGCTGGTGCATCTGGGCAGTCAGTGGGCACACTAACACAGGACATCCATCGTGGGCATCAGAGGCTCTCAGGCCCTTTTCCAGCCCAGATCATTTCTTAGAGACAAAAAGACAAACTCCTGACCCTCGAGTATTTCATGAATCACCTGATAATTGAATTGTTATCAAGGTACTTTCCTAGGCCAGGGATATAGCTCAGTGGTCTAAGCCCCTGCCTGGCAAGCGCAAGGACCCGAGTTCATTCCCAGTACCATATGCTGTGCTGGCCCTGCACCGAGCCAGCCACAGAACCAGGCTTGGTGGCACACGCTTGTAATCCCAGCTCTGGAAGGCTGAGACAAGAGGATCACTATGAGTCTGAGCTGTGTAGTGAGACCCTGTACCAAATTTTTTAAAAAAGTACTTTCCTAAAAGTGTTACTACTTTTTTTATTATGTGCTTCAATAAAACATGATTTTTCAGTCTTTACCCGACTTGATCTTCTCCTCCTTTACTGAAGGAGGCATATGGTTAATAAGAGAATGAAACCTGTAGCTTGTGTTAGGAACACTGTTGTGATGTGGAGCATGAGATTTCATTCATGTATCTTTTCTTTTGCTAGAGAGATGGAGAAGAAAGTCACTCTGCTTAATGCACCTACGAAGAGACCAAGGTAATGCTCAAGAGACTCTTGAAAACCAGTGCTGTGTCCCCAAGTCCCCAAGGTGCTCTGACGTATGTCTGTGTGTTGTTCATTCCCAGTAGCCTTAAGTATCTTTCCAGGACCCCCCATCTGCTTACATGTCAGTAGTCATTTCTGAAGCGTGAACACGAGTTTCACCCTCACGTAGTAAGTGCATGCCATTGTCATGATGGATGTAGAGGAGTGTAGGTGCTATGGATCAGACTGGACTCTGGGCTGGCCGAGCTGTGATGAAGCCCTGAGGCTTTGCAAAGCCTGTTTTGAGAAAGGTTTGAAAGGACATGCGTTCTCGTAGCACAGTTGGCAGTTGTGAGGGGCCAGACTAGAAGCAGTGTTCTTTGATATTTTCATGTTCACCGTGCCTTTGTCTGGGGTTGCTGGCAGGTCAAGCGCCGTGACTGAAGCACCCATTGCTGTGGTAACATCACGAACCAGTGAAGTCTATGTTTGGGGTGGAGGGAAATCCACCCCCCAGAAACTGGATGTCATCAGGAGTGGCTGTAGTGCTCGGCAGGTGTGCGCAGGGAATACTCACTTTGCTGTGGTCACAGTGGAGAAGGAGCTGTACACTTGGGTGGTAAGTGAAAGCTAAGGACTCTGGGCCGGTGCGCTAAGCCTGTGTACTGGGCCCAGGGTGTCCAAGCCTTCTGCTAGCTGAACACCTACCGCAGGGCCGCAGCGTGGGTCATGGGGCGTAAGCCCTGTGGGAGCAGGGGTTTAGTCTGCGTAGGTCCGTGACATATGCCCCTATGCCTGCTACATACTAGGACACATGCACATGAGTTCTGAATAAGTGAAAGGGCAGAAAAATTTAAAGAGCTGCCGTGGAGACAGGGCTTTTCCATTTACAACCGGTGATTTCAGACAGGTCACTTACTCTGCGGTGTTATTGGGAAGTTCTGAGCAGCTGGCGTAACAAGTAAAGCCCGCCTCATGTCAGGAAGCCTCTGAGCCCCCCTGGCGACCGCAGCAGCCAGGCATGTGTCGCGCAGCACCTGCCTTCCGCTCTCTCCAGAACACATTTTGTTCCTGTTCTGCTTCCACATTCCCCATTCTCGCATTCACCTATAGTGCAGCTTCCGGCTCGGCTACCCGTTGAAATAAGTCTTAATGAAGTGACCTGTAAATTGCTTCAATAAAACGTGATTTTTCAGTCTTCACCCAGCTTGATCTTCTCCCCCTTGGAGCTTTGTTTTCCTGGGCTCCTGTGATCGTGCGTTCGCGTAGCTTCCCGTTTCTTTCCTGCCTTCTCCAGCTCATGACAGGCTGCTTCGCTTGCTTCACCTTGTAGGCTCTCGGTGCCGCTTCCTGGGGAAGCTTCCTATTCTCAGTGGCTGTAGGTAGCTTCTCCATGCGGACAAAGACTGCCTGATTCACTGCTGTATCCCCAGGATGTGAGATTGAACACGCACCTACTGATTTATCCAGAAATGATTTGGCCTTTGTTATACAGAGATGACTTGCTGGGATACTACCAAAGCAGTGCTTTGAACACTGTAAAGCTTTATAGCTGAGTCATTGAATAGAAAGAACGACCTATCTGTAAAGCTTGGAATATCATGAAGACTGTTCTCAGAGCTGTTTAGTAGCTCTTTGAAGTAGCCAGATTGTTTTTTCTTTTTGAGACAGGGTCTCACTATGTAGCTCAGGCTGGCCTTGAGCTCACTTTGTAGCCCTGACTGGTCTTGGACTTGGAATGACCCTCCTGCCTCAGCCTCCTGAGTGCTGGGAGTACAGGCATGCACCGCCACACCTGCCTGTGGCCAAATTCTTTATCACGGTTCTGTTTCAGGTAAACTGTGATCAAAACATGTCAGACCTCTAGTACAGATACTAGATTTTCAAGGCAAAACCTGTTTTACCTCCATAAAAAACAATTAGATTCTGCAGTGAATCTTTTCATTACCATTCTGTCACCCATAATTAAAAATGTGCTTCACCTTAAACTTGAAGAACAAACACAAATTGGGAATATGCCCTTTTAAGGCCTGTCAGACATGGATCTGGAATATTTTTTTTTAATTTATTTGTTTTATTTATTTATTTATTTGTGTGTGTGTGTGTGTGTGTGTGTGGTGCTGGGGGATTGAACCGCGGTCCCTGATGCTTTGCCAAGCTTGTTCTAAGTAGGTGCTTTAGACCACTGAGCCATCTCACCAGCCCGAATCTGGAATATTTTTTTAAATTTTTTATCTTTTTTTTTTTTTGTGTGTGTGTGTATGTGTGTGTTTGTGTGTGCACGCGCGCCAAAAATCAAACTCAGAACCTTGCGCTTACCAGGCAGGCACTACTGCACTGGGCAATATCCCTGGCTCCCTTAAAATTTTTATCTTGACATGGGCTTTATGTGCCTGCCATTAAAGGAATTACATAATCCTTTACTAATTTTGTTTTCATTTCCAACTTTTTTTTATTATTTTACTAGCTTACATTAAAAATTAGTTTTTCATATGAAAAGCTCAAGCTTCAGAAACGTTTCTGTCTCCCAGAACATGCAAGGGGGCACGAAGCTCCACGGCCAGCTGGGCCATGGGGACAAGGCTTCCTACCGACAGCCGAAGCATGTGGAAAAGCTGCAAGGCAAGGCCATCCGGCAGGTGTCATGTGGGGATGACTTCACGGTGTGCGTGACAGGTGAGCGTTGGCGAGAAGCACTGGGGGCCTGCGCTTGCTGCTGGCCTGCTGCTGCTGCGTGCCCAGTTTGCTGTAGCAGCAGGGGCTTGAGTGAGAGAGAAGGGAAGGCAGGTAGACGCAGAAGAGTCGGGAGTAGGGGGACCGTGTATCCCTGGAGCAAGGCCTGGCGCAGAGCAGGCGAGGCCTCTGCGTGCTGTGGGTAACGCAGGCCCAGGATCAGAGCTCCATTTGGGTGTGGTCTTCCTCGTGTTATGGTTCCTATACCTCCGTTTTCATCTACCAAGTAGAGAAGTCTGCAGTGTGAGCTGGAGTGCCCCAGGATTGCACAGGCTGGCCTCACACTCATGATCCCCCAGCCTCAGCCGTCCAAGTAGCTGAAAGTCCAGGCATGCACTGCCGCTTCTGGCTCACACCATGAGCTTCTAAGCTATTTATTATAGTAATGTACACAGAGGCCCTTAAAGCACGGACAGCTGTAGACCTAACGGTCTCCCCTCTGATGTCACCATCTCACGTAAGACCACGGGCTGGCGCAGTCCTCGTTTTAGCCCTGCTGCGCTCTCTAATGAGACCAAAAGAGACCGTCCTCTGATGGTGGTTTTCCTTCCTTTTCCAGATGAGGGTCAGCTCTATGCGTTTGGATCAGATTATTATGGTTGCATTGGGGTAGATAAGGTTGCTGGCCCTGAGGTGCTGGAGCCTGTGCAGCTGGATTTCTTCCTCAGCAATCCAGTGGAGCAGGTCTCCTGTGGGGACAATCACGTGGTGGTCCTGACGCGGAACAAGGAGGTATACGCGTGGGGCTGCGGTGAATACGGTACGTGTCGCCTTATCCCTGCCCACATCTTCCCAGGTGTACAACCTGTGTGCATCTAGACGCAGGATACAGCCTTGCTCAAGACGTGTGCTAAGAGAAGCTTACAGAACACCTCCTTGGGAGGAAGTCATGATAACTTCCTTTCTGTGTTCTAGGACGGCTGGGTTTGGATTCAGAAGAGGATCATTGTCTACCACAAAGGGTAAGGTCACAAACAGCTTTCACAGCGCCTGTCTAAGGCACACAGCCTCCAAAAATACATCCTTTTTTATGAGTCCTATTAAGGTGTTTCTTTCTGCAATGTTCCCTGTCTTGCAGACTGAGTCTCAGGTTCTTGTTTTAGGACTGTGGGGTCTTGTCATCTGACTAAATCATAGAAAGGTGAGACAGCACCACCGCTGCTGAGAACACCGAGGACTCACATCTTACAGGGATGAGCTGAATCAAGTGCAGTGGGAAAGGCTCGGGTCGCGGCCTTGAGAAAGCATCGGCAAGGGATGTCCTGGCTCGTGACCTGACACAGCCGTTGCCCTCCTATTTCTGCAGTTGACACCAGATGACACTTCTTATTGGGGGGGGCGTGTGGTGTCAAATGCTGTATGAGGAAAAAATTGGGCCTCTCCCATCCCCCCAGAGCTCAAGCTCACCACTTGAGGGTGCAGAGGGGTGGCTGCAGTTGACTATTTCTGGTTACTGTTAGCAGTTTTTATTCATATTTAAGAAATTAAGTGTGTCTGTGGGGACCATCCTCTGGCTCAAGGCTTCAGGGTTCCCACACAAAAGCTGTAGGAAGACGTGACCGTCTGAAGTCCTAGTTACTGTCTCCGTGCTCTGCAGCCTCCCTGTGAAGTGACCCAGGCATCCCTCAGGCTGCCAAGCTTCAGCCAAGGAGCCCTCATCTAAGAGGACAAAGCCAGCGAGATCGAAGCTTCTCCTTCGCCAGCTTGTTCTGAGCAGTCTCCTTTCTCAGACATCTCCTTTGGAAACTCCTCCTTAGAGGAGTAGAGCATGTTGCTGAAACAGGCTAACGGGGCTATGTAGTGGATTTGCTGTCCTTCCTTTCTGTTGTAACACCTGAACTCCTGGTTGAAGATACTAGACCCTCGTTTAAAAAAAAAAAAAA